TAATAATAATAAAATATAAAGATAAAATATATTAATTAAGTAATTCTTTTTTATTTAAAGAATTCTAATAAGTTATTAGTTAATTTTATCTATTTTACTAATCTAGTTTATTTTATTAATCTAGTTAATAAAGTTAGTAAAGTAAATAAACTTTAATTCTATTATATCTAGACTTTTTTAACTAAACTACTTATTATTAATTTACTCCTATAATCCTAGCTAGATATTAGGTACCTTAATAATTTAATAATATAGGAAAAACTATTATCTAGTTACTTTAAGGCCTTACTATACCTATCTTATACTTAACTTAAATAAAAACCTATACTTTATTCCTTTTTATATTAATATTATAATTCTTAATAAAGTTTAATAATCTTATTATAATGATTTTTTAATATTAGGTCCCTAAGCTATACTTTTAATATATATATATATATATTATCTTTATTTCTTTAAGAGATTTATATTACTAGATATATTAATTTTATTTTTTTATTATATATATTTTAACTTCTTTTTAAGTCCTTAACTCTTTTATTTATAATAATTATATATAATTTTATATTATTATTATAATAGTTATTATAATATAATAGTTAATATATACCTAATAATAATTTTTACTAACCTAGACTTATAGTTATCTCTTTTTATACTTTACCTTTATCTAAGTATACTTATATTATATAAATCTTTTATAGTATTATTATAATATATTAGACTTTTAGAAGACTAGGTAGGCTAGTAGGTAATTAAAAAGAGGTATCTCTAGTAAGATTTAAACCTATAATCTATATATTAACCTATATAGAATTCCCTAATATAGAACCACTATATTACAGAGGCTAACTAAACTACTTAGATATTTACTTTTACTTTTTTCTACTACTTTTATATATAAATTATATATTTTAGCTACTTTAAATGTTTTAAATAAAACTAATATCTTATAAAAAGCTTTATATTCTTACTTTTACTAATATATAAATCTTTTCTTAATTCTCTTATACTTAGCTTTAGTTTATAAATAATAAGAAATCTACTTTCTTCTATTAACTTAGCTTTAAGTTAATTATTAAGTACTTTAAGTTCTTTTATTATCTGTATAATATTAGTAACTAGAATTTAGCTAGTACTTACTAGTAATAATTAAAGCTTTATATATATTACTACTACCTATATCTATAGAATATCTATTAAAGTTATCTAAAGAAATAGCTTATTAATATAATATTTAGGCTAAATTTAATTAAGCTAAAAGATAAGGTTATTATTTTATAATAATAATTCTACTACTTAATTTATTTGCTTAGATAATATTACTCTTAAGTTAAGACTAGAATTATATAATATAGAATTAGACCCACCTACTAGTCGTGACGCGAGAGAGCTCCTCTATTGCTAAAGTGATAGAGTAGGTGTGTGGCACGTCTAGCACCCTTTGGCAACGGCACATGTACGTACGTAGTTTTGTGGGAGAGCTGGGGAAAATAAAGCGGCGCGGGGTGTGCCTCTTTGAGAGTCGGTTTTATCTAGAGGTGGGCATTGGCGCGCCATGGAAACAGTGCCCAGCGATTCTTGCAGCAACCCGGACTGCCAAGGGCAATCGAGTCCGCCGAGAGATGAGCACAGTGGGTGAGTGGATGGAAAGAACAGCGCGACGCCGTAGAGTCACGCGAGCAGTTTCCTTGCGAGGTTTTGTGTCCGGTAGATCATTCCCGGATGATGGAAACCCAAGTGGGTGACGGAGGCCACTGTCTAACTTGACAGCCTTATTATTGACGAAACAGAACTCGGCCACTGAAACAAGCATTCCTGAAATTACTGCAGCAGCTCTACCGCCCTAGCCGAGAATACTGGTCGACAATGGACAGCGCGCATTGTCTGAGTGTTAGAGTTGCGCGATGGTACCAAATGAGATTGCGTGGAGGAGACACGAGACATGAGCGCTGTGCGTATTCGACAACGCAGCGCGGGATATTACAGCTGAGCAGCTTTACTGAGCAACTTTGTGTTTCTTTCAATTACCAAGCTGGGCAGGGCGAATATGGTATTTTTCAAGGGCTTGTGCTGATACATCGGGCGGTCGAAGATTATAGTTAAGCATTTAGCGGGCTATCATCGTACGCCGTTGGCACCATGTTTCTAGGCAGGCAGGCAGGTTGCCGACTGAGGCATTGAGGTGAGTCGTCAAGATGTGGACGCCAGGACGCCACATGAATCTGGGCGGAGCGGATGGAGCAGTGGGGCTTCCACTGGCCGGGCCTGTCATGACCAAAGGATCGAGAGCGTGCGCGATCTGTGGCCTCTGATTGGCTACCATGCCTCACATTCTTCAACCTTTTTTTCGGTCGGTCGGAGAGAACTCTTCTGGCTGCTTTCGCTTCTGGTTGCTTTTCGCTTCTGGTTGCTTTTCGCTTCTGGCTGCTTTTCGCTTCTGGCTGCTTTTCGCTTTGCGCTTCTTTGGCTACTGTGCGTAGCACAATGTCTCATCATAAGAATTTATCTTGACAAAAGTCCCTGGCCTTTACTTCGCCCGTACCAAACCTTAGTTGTGAAGAGATTGATCGTATCTGGGATTATACATACTTGTCTACAATCTCCCCCCTTGCCGCACCCCAACTTGCGCCAAGACCAGCATCAGCGCCGCTTCTAAAAGCGGCACCGCCCAAAAAAAAGTTGCTGCATAGAGTTGATGCCGCCATGCGGCAATGCCACCACCGAGTTAGGAGACTTAATTATTTAGCTCTAACTATTGATGCTACAGGGAAGAAAAAAGGATGGGCTCACTCGCGGGTTTTTGTTCCATTTTTCCGTGTGGATTCGTTCCTTCCTTGAACTTGCCACGGTCAGATATAACAATGCCCATCTGCTGCTTGCCCACTTCCCTTCACAGGGCTTCTCTCATTTCTCCCAAGCACCACCGCTTGCGTCTTTCATCCAGCCAAGCTGGTCAGCACATTCCCCTGTGGTGCTTCCTCTCTTGATCACTCTTCATTTTCTTTCTTTTAATTCTTTATTCTCCTACTCTTCTTCCTGGAGGAACTGAATTCCAGGTATCGCCGCCAAACACACCCAAGACTCAGGTCAACTTCGCCAAGCGCTAAGCTCGGCTTAATCGTTGACTAGAACCTTTGATACCGCAATCGCCATGCCGTCCGACACTGTCGATCAGGTCGAGCCCGCTGCTCGCCCTCATCACGAGCACCATCACACCATTATTCCCGGCGAGGTCCCCGTCCCCCACGGCCCTCCCTCTAGCGACAGTGGTGATGATTCTACGTTCGGCACTACCCCAGAGGAGCGCCGCATCTTCAGTCATGTCACCCGTCCAGATGACTCGTACACCCCCGAGGGTGTCTACTGGGCTGATCTGCCTTTGGCCGAGCGCTTCAGGTTTGTCAACGCCGTTGATCGACAGGCTGCCAAGGAGGAGCTTGTTACAATCGGCGCCATGGTGAAGAAGGATCCCCTTTCGCCTATCGGTTGGTACTTCCGCCATGCTGTCATCCCCGGGGCTGGTCTCGGTCTCGAGGGCTATGTCCTCTTTTCCATCGGTAACCTTGAGCCCCTGTTCAAGCAGGCTTGGCCAGAATGCTGGGGCAAGCACCAGGTCTGCAGCCAAAACTGGCTCGCTTCAGTCACCTACCTCGAGATCATCGGCATCATGGTTGGCCAGGTTTTCGTCGGTGTCAGTACCCTTATGCCACCGTTTACAGCCTTGCGCATTGACTAAATTGTCTAGGTTATCGGTGATTGGATCGGTCGTCGCTGGGGTCTTATCCAAGATGCCGTCATCATGTTCATTGGTCTGCTCATGCTCACCGCCTCGTGGGGTCTGACGCTTCAGGGCTGGGTTATCTGTTATGCTTGGTCCCTGTTCTTCTACTCTCTCGGTGTTGGCGGGGAGTACCCCATCACCGCTACCTCGTCCCTCGAAAATGTCTCGTCTGCTGGCCGCCTCTCCACCAAGGAGGACCGACTGCACCGTGGCCGCCGTGTCACTATGGCGTTCCTCATGCAGGGCTGGGGCCAGTTTGTCAACCAAGTCCTGCTTATAGTCCTTCTCGTCATCTTCAACTCTGGCTCCGGCTCTCCTCCGTATAGCCATAGTGCAGCCCAGTACGCCTTCCGCCTGTCTTTTGCTTTCCCCGCTATCGGTACTCTCTGGCTTGCCTACTACAGAACCTGGAAGATGCCCAACCCTTCCAAGCAACTCGCTGCTGCTAAGGCCCGAACCTCGGTCACAGGCTACGATGTTACTGCCCTGAAGTACTGCTTCACACACTTCGGTGGCCGTCTTATCGCCACTGCCGGCGCCTGGTTTTGCAATGACGTATTCTTCTACGGAAACAAGCTCTTTCAGGGTCAATTTATCAGCGTTATCTCACACGACCCTAAGAATATACTTACCAACTGGAGCTGGAACCTAGTCAACATTGTCGTCTCTCTCGCGGGCTACTACATGGCCTCATTTCTTATTGATAACAAAATGTACGGTCGCAAGATGATGCAGCAGGTCGGCTTCTTCATGTGCTTCCTCATGTTTGTCATTCCTGCCTTCAAGTACGACTACTACACCAGTGAAGCCGGCATACATTCCTTCCAGACTATGTACTTTCTCTCTTCTTTTTTCAACCAATTCGGCCCCAACTCGGTTACCTTCCTCGTCGCTGGCGAAGTTTTCCCCACACCCATCCGTGCCACTGCCCACGGATTTTCCGCCTGCATGGGCAAGGCTGGCGCTCTACTCGCCTCGGTTCTTTACAACTACATTGACACTAAGACCAAATTTCTCGTCGTCCCCTGGTTCGGTCTTGCCGGCATGTTTCTGACCTACCTTTTCCTTCCCGACACCACTGGTCTCGACCTCAAGGAGCAGGAGCGTCGCTGGCGCTACATTCGTGAAAACCGCAGTCACGAGTACCACGGTGTGGCGGTGAACCCACAGCATCTTTCCGTTTGGGAGCGTCTTATGGGCTCTGCCAAGTCTTACGACCCTGAACAAGACTGGAAGGCCAAGGTTGCCGACATGCGTAAGGAGTGGGAGGATGTTCAGGCCGCTCGTGGCCCTAAGGAAACGGAGAACAACCACGTTGACCATGACATGGGGGAAGACGGCGAATTCTCCCAGGAGATTCACGAGTACTTCAAGCGCTCTGCCCCTCCCGGCCTTCACAGCCGTGGCGTTCTCGGTGAGAAGATTGCTCACGAGTCTGAGAAATAGAGACGACGATTTTCGAGTGCTCTTCTGTCACCATTCACTTGATATCAGCACTTTTGTAGATATGTTTTAGATGGCATTAAGGACATGGCACCAACAATACATTCGGCGCTTGTATTTGCTTGGGCGTACATGAGCATGATTGGGACATATGGAGTTTGGGGTTTCTACGGATGTATACACTGATGCTGATACAATGGGAATCATCGTTCATTCGATCTGTGCCTACATATCTGAGTTCCTCTTGTCAGTACGTGTTTGGGGGTCGATCCACATTGACGCACCAGTTGATACAGCGGGTCAACACGCACCTTCCCAATCAGCTATACTATACGTGTAAAACTGACTTACATGATCAACCTGACTAGCATTGCAGAAATTCACATTAAATCTAGCCAGATCCATTACGCAATAATTTTGCCAGATCGTCCCGAGAGTTACATTCCACCATGGACAAGAGATCTCTGCACCAACTTCTGAAATGTCAAAATTTTATGCCGAGAGACCCCGAAGGTCACGATTTCTATTCAACTTTAAGATAGGGTATCCTAGGAAAAATTAAAAAAAAAAACAATTGGGGTTTGACACGCCTCCGTATGTATATTGCTGCTTTTATATACAAAAAATTCAAGGGAAAATGGTCGTAGGTCTACATCATAGTGAAAGAGGATAGCACGAGCTCTTTTATGTAAAAATTGGTTAGCGCCTCATACTCCCTGTGTATCCCTACAGTTCAACTTGCCGAGCCCCCTCAAAATACAACACAGGCAAGGGAAATTGTGCCTGGGATACCGCGGGAAGCCTGTCTCAATTCAGGTCGGAGTCAAAAGAGCCACATGTCGAGGGTGGAGGCAGAGGCACGCCCATCGGCCTCGGCGCATGCAGCTGCGTGTGGGCATGCACGTGAATTAGACCCGACCGGCGTGCAGAGTCAAAGCTCCGCGCCGACGCCGTGCTACCTGGCCGCGAGCCGTGGTCCGCATATTGGCGGTAGCTGTATGACATCGACGTCACGGACTCTGGGGCGCCGTGATGCAGACGGCTGCCCTGGGTCGTCTGCGAGCGGCCCGAGCCGACCGAGTAGGTCGGTGAGCCCGCGCGCGGGGGGGGCGGGGGCGGCATGGCGGCATAGCTACTGCCGCGGCCGCCGCCAACAATCGGCTGCACATTGACCAGCGTCTCGGGTGCCACGAGCGCCGCTAGCACGCACTCGTCTAGGTGCTCGTAGAACTCCTGCGCGTAAGGAAAGTACGCGTCGCAGATAGAGCAGCGACCCTCGTTCTGCAGTGTCTTGGGGTCCGCCACGGGCCGCGACATCATCGACGCGGACAGGGCGCTCTCGGTCGCTGCCACAGAGACAGAAGTAGACTCTTCGCCACTAATCAGGGGACCGGTGCTGGTCTCGACGCTGTGCACTGAGGCAAGGTGTCTCTTAAAGACGTCCGCACGGCTAAATACGCTTTCGGCATTGTTTTCGCCCTTGGTTGGGCACAGCGGGCAAATGAGAGTGCCACGGTAGTGCGTCAGCGCGTGCCGGTTCTTATCGTACTTGCGCGCAAATCCCTTGGTATGGTAGACGCACGAAGGAACAGGACACTTTTCCGGGCGCTCAGCCTGATGCGTTAGCATGTGCGCGGCAAGATCACGCAGCACACGACCGCACTCTGGATATGGGCACTTTTGCCCGCCTGCTGGCTCATCTGGGGACTCGCCCGATCTGTTCACGCTGCTTGCAGCGGCGACATCTTCTGCTCCAGCATGATTGCTAGGCTCTACCCCATTCTCCTGGCCGTTAGCGTCTTCCATCTCGTCATCGCTGTCCAGGTCAACGACTTGGCCGTCAGAAGTGGCCCTACCTTTCCCCTTGCCTTTAACCTCACTTGTCGAGTCGGGTGCGACACAGACCTCCTGCATCCATTCCTTGAGAACAGACATGGACGGCCAGTCACTGGCAGACTTGCCATTGCGCGTGGGCGGGAAGTGTGCACGACGAAGATGCGCAGCAGCATTGTAGTAAGCCCCATAGCTCTTTTGGGTCATGCATGACTTGCACGTGCTGAGAGGAACAGACGTCCATGGCTGGTTGGGGTGTCTCCTGGTCGGCTCTCGGCAAACCCAGCGGCGAACCAGGGCCGCGTGACGTGCGTGTGTGTGACGTCGCAGCTCGTGTTCGCCACGGAAGCCCTCGGGATAGTCATTGCAATGAGTGCAATAGACTCGGCGCAGTGGTGGTCGCTGGTAGGTAGGCTTGATGTTGGGCGGCCCCGATGGAATAGCGACAGGAGCGCTGCTGTTACGGCGGGACGAGGTGACTGAGCGAGATGAGCCGGTGAGAGACGGGCGACGCTCCAGTCGGTCGCCTCGGTCGCCCGAAGACGCAAGGCCGCCGTAAGAAATAGTGCGGCCATCGTAATGACTCGAATATCCGTATCCCATGTCTCTCCTGTTCATCTGACTTCTGGGGCTAAGAGGTCTGTCGAGCGCATGAGGCGGGCCAGCCTTGCTCATCAGATTAGCCATCGACATTGGCGATCGTCCGTCAGGAGAGACGACGCCAGTAAGTGATAGTGAGTCGGGCTCCGTCGGTCCCGGTGATGAACGGCGAGAGAGGGCCAAGTGCGGGGTAGACTGCCATGTATGATCACGCAATGAGCTTCCAGAGTGAAGGTATTCGTGCACTCTGTATGAGCCAGCCTCGGAATGGGCATACCCATTGAGAGCTGATACTAAGCTATGGTCCCTCGAAAAGGCACGCGACTTGGTGTAGTCAACCGTAGCTTCGTTGCTGCCACTAGTTCTGTAGGAGTCTGCCTGTAAGCGAGGAAACGCCGTGTTATTCATCGGCCCAGGGCGCGTCTCGCTGCGATCAGTATGTGCTCTCAGCACAGACTCATCATAATAGGATGGTCTTCGTGAAGAATCAGTTCTGTGAGAGTCTCTCCTCCATCCTTCTCGACTTGTGCTCAGTGTCTCGATGGCCTGCTTCGTAGTATCGACAGACTTCTCAACGGTGAAGGTGGAGAGAGCCAGTAAAAATTCTGCTGAGTTGGCGATACGCCTGTTCTTCCAATCGCCGTACAGGAGCGCTTTAGCCATCATGTCATATGACGCAATGTCGTCTTCATCCCAATCTTGGGACACTCTATCAAACAGCATGGGACCAAGTTCGAAGAAGAGATCGACCAGGACATCAAACGTGCTTCGGAGGGTGTCCCAGAATCCAAGAGCGAATGCATGGTCGTCCGCATTGACTGGGCTCTCGAGGGAAGCTTCCCTGGCTCCGCCGAGAATCAGGCCGGACACGTGCAAGATGACAAGGGAGCAGAACAGGGCAAGCCACTGCTTAGGAGACTTCTCCCGACCATCTCTGCAGCTGGCCTCGAATGCGCGAAGAAAGGAGGCCATACAAGTCTCGACGACTTCGGCTTGGTCGTCTCGTACGGCATCATCTGGGAATGGCGGTCCGCGTCGCTCTGCACAAGGTGCACTGATGAAAGGAGTGGTTCCGGAAAGGCCGTACAACGTGACTTCACGAAGGAGGTGCTTGGCGTGATAGAGAGCGGGGTTGCTTAGTTCCTCATCTCGTCGACTGGTAGAGAATTTGCCGCTAGTGCCAATAATATGGATGATATTATAAGGTTGTTGGGTCCTGAGGGTGGCGTAAAGGAGAGTGCAAAGTATAGCAGGAGGTGGGGTGGAGATGTTCCAGGCTTTGGTGGCAACAATTTGCTCGATAATATTCTTCTCATGGCTCAAGTCGCCCATACGCCAGAAGGAGTCGTTGAAATCAGTCGTGTCACGAATACTGACACTGATGTTGTCAGGGAACCGCAGAATGGATCGGAGATAATCATCAACATCACGGCGAAGTTTGCGTACAGCAGCCTGTTGAATTGGGCCAGAAAGAAGAGTGCCATGTCCAGCAGGTCGCTCCCCAATAGGAGATCCGGGCACCAGACTCTTAGCGACAGAAGCAATGGTGCCTCGGTAGGTGTCGACGCGGTACCAGTGCGAGTCGTCGTCTCGCAGGGGTACGATGCACTTGCACGAACCCGCTTCCTGGCCGGCACAGCGAAGGCAGGCTTTAAGGCAGGCCTCCTCGAGGTGTTGCTTCAGTTCCGACTTCAACTGTATAGCATCACTCTTGACTTCCCGAGATCTGTCTTCTTTCCGAATTGACTCGAGGCGAGCAGGAATCGAGCTACCAGCAGGATCCAGGGCGGAAAACGGGGGCAGCGCGTCTTGGCCGCTATACAAAGTTTGAACGTCCGGGTTATCGTGCACAAGATGTCCGCGATCAGAGCGGCCATATTCCGGGGCCCGAATGCGATGAGGAGATGGTGGAGCTGAAGAGCGAAGAGATGAGCCTGTAACGGTATCGACACGGAGACCGTGTCTGGACTGCGCCAGTGCTTGGGATTGTGGGGCCGCGATGTAGATTTGGTGCTGAGAATTTTGGTCCGAAGGTAAATCGAGCTGTCGAATGGGTGGTAAAGTGTCGTGCTGCTGAGATTCGCGATGCGTGTCCGGATGCACAGGTTCGCGTCGGGCTTCTGATTCGAATGGACGCATTTGGGGAGAGAGATGAGATTCCGATGGGGGCAAGTAGCGGAGATGGTGGCTGTCTTCGCCATAAGCTGTGCCATCGGGATTAGGCGAGAGAGTTGTGCCGGTCAGAGTTGTGCCGGTCAGAGTTGGTGACTTGGGTCGCATAAAGGCGTGAGGCTGGATGGCAACGCTGTCCATGTCATCAGTACGAGCGTAGTCTCTCTCAACGTGCTCACGTTGCTCGGGCGGCGTGCGAGGTAGCTGAACAGGGTTCATCTCGGCTTTGCCGGGGTACCGTCCGATGCGGCGGCTCTTGATCTCGTCTTGACTCTCGAAAAGCTCGATGCCAGCGACCAAGTGAGTGCGCATGTGGGACTGCAGCCCTTCCTTGGTGGCAAAACCATATACATAATGACGACAGCTGCGGACGGGACACTTGAGGGTACGCGGGAGATCGTCTAGGCTTGTACCTCCAGCAATAATGCTTGCAAAGACCGGGTCCTGTTTTGTGAGATTACGGGAAAGCCAGGGTCTGAAGCTGGCAGGAGCGCTGGCAGAAGAAGCTCTGAGCTGCTGATTGGCATCGATACCTGCGAGCGTTAAACAGCGTTAAATAGTGAAAATGTGAAGCGAGAAAGTTTGGTGTACCTTTGAGCATGCAGGCAGCTTCGAGGCACTCGCACATGTATTGCAACATGCGGCACTCGTCTAGAAAAGAGAGGACAGGGACACCGCGCGCAAGGTCTAAGAAGAGAGTTAGATTGTTGTCGGACGTGCTGTAGGACATTCTTCAGAGTAGTGTAAATTAACGCTGGGCAAGGCGGGTTTTCTATTACCGTGCGAATCGACGACGGATTGCAGGACATCGCGTTTATGCTTGAGCATTTCGGCCTCGTATTCTGGGTCGAGAAAGAACTTGTGATTAATTGGAACATCGTCAAAGAGCTTGGAGAGGTCGAGGCGGCGGTAAGAGTCGTCGCTACAGCTGTAGGACGGCATGTGGCGGGCCGAATTTTCGAGCGACTCCATGTCCGACGAGTCTATGCTGTGGCAGCCCTTGAGATGGCTCGAGTAATAGTCGAAGTGGTGTTTATGGGGACGCCACTTGGCGCCGCTGGAAGTATCAGCGTAGCGGGGTTTCAGCGGCGGCGAGAAGCTACGTGGACCGGCAGTCACGATGTTCATCGTCGTGCGAGGCTGATGCGGGAGCGAACCATGAGCATCCTTTCGTTGTAGAAGACCAGCCGTATTAAGCGAGCATGAGGGATGTTGACGGATAAGTTGCGCCGTTTGTTAGGGGAATTCTCTTGGGAGCGCCAGTTGTACTATTATCTTATCGACTCAAGAAGCGAGGTGTATGTTTGGTGTCTGTGCTCCAAACGACGTTGATCGTCAAGACTTGGATAGCGGGTTTGGGTATGGCAACTGGTAGAAGGAGTTGTCGGGGCTGTTTGAGTCGAATTGTTGGTGTGTTTTAAGTATCAGCGAAATGAAAAAAGTTCGAACGTGCACCGAATAGAGGAATAAGGGTAAGAGCGATGTGCCGCAGCGAACGCTGCGCAGTTGGAGGCCCGGTTGAATGAAGCAAGAGAAGGAAAATGAGGCCGTGAGATTGTTCACAATGGAAGCGCTGGCTGCGGCGCCGGCGAGAGGGCGAAAGGATTTGGGTTTCGTTGAAGAGGGGGCCCCGTGGTGGTCCGTGGGGGTGTACCTAGGGGGCAGGCGTTGTGTGCCAAGAGCTGGTGGGACAACAGTGAGCCAGGCGAGTACCGGGAGGGGAAGCCGAGGATTTACCAGTACTACAGGTATTAAAACGTGCCACACACCTAACTCCATATTAAATGCTTAAAGGGGTGATAGCTACTACAGCTATTCGCTACTTGGTACATAAAAATAAGCTATTATATTTGATAGAATAGCTAGTATTTAATTTAATATTATAAGTATTACGTCTCTACACATCGTATCTAGTGCTATCTACTAGGCTCGAAAGGCTGATAACGACCTATAACGGCTGTGGCTTAGGTAGTACTATAAGCTAGGTTCATAGTTCTATTAAGTAGCCCCCTCTACAGCGAGAAGACACCTATCCCTAGGTATATATAACAATAGCTTAATCCTAGTCCGTAGTTAGTCTATTTCTTAGAAAGTAAGTTAGGTTAAAAGATATAGAGTAATATATTTAACTAGTAATTTTAAGACAGTTATAAAGAACTAGGCTTTAAAGATTAATAACTTAAAATGACTTTTTCTTTAATATTTATTATCTTTTTATTATCTTTTTTAAAATTACTTTAGATTATTAATAATCTTAATAATCTCTTATTATAGATATTAGCTTAGTTTATTACTAGTTCCTTATAAGTAATAATAATCTAGTTATATAATCTAATATTCTAATTAAATAATATATAGATATTTACTTCGTTAATTCTTTAAGTTACTTCTTCTACCTACCTTATATATATTCTAGGTTATAATAGTATAGTTACCTCTATAGAATCTAGTAAGTTAGTTTTATAGCAATTACTAATTTAAAATATCTAAATAACCTATATTAGTAGGTTCTAAAATTCTTTATTTTGCCTTTAATCTTATATATCATATAGTAGTTTTATATTACCTATAGTAATACTTTAACTATTTTAGACTACTATATAGTCTTAGCTACCTACTCTATAGCTTATATCTATATTAGGCCCCTTATAAGGTAACCTACTTTTAATAAGTTTCTCTCTAGCCTTTATAATAGTACTATAAGAATATAGTCTTTAAACAAGACATATTTAACTCTATACTACTTACCTAGATTACTTATTTACTAAAGCTAGAATAGAGATTAAACCTATAAATAAAGTATAATTATTACTACTAATTCTACCTTTAGTACTATTTACTATACTAAAAGATTAACTATAACCTATAATAGCTATAGCTTAACTAGTACTATAACTTAAGTTTATAGGTTTAATATTAAGAATTATAATAATAAAATCTTATAGAGAGAACTTAGGCTTTATAGCTTACTCTATTATTCTTAGTCTTAGTCTATAAAGAGTTTACTATAGTCTTATCTAAGAGTTATATAAGCTATATCTTAAATTAGTCTTATCTTCTTTCTTTTTATTTTTTCTTTTTTAAGTAAAAGTAAAAAGAATTATAATATTTATATTTTTAAAGTTAAAGCTATTTAGATTTATTATAAAATCATAATAGTCTAGCCCTAGAGGAGTATAAGAGGTAATTAGCTACTTCTACTATTATTAGCTAGTAAGTTAAAACCCTCCTACCTATAGTAAAAGGATTCATGATATTAACGCTATTAGTATTATTATCTAACTTATATACCTAGGCACGACCTCTCTATAGAAGGACCTTACTTAGTTAAAGATTTAGCCTATAATAAAAATATATAAAATATTTTTATCTTAAATATAATCAATATTTTTAACTTATTAACTAATTTTAAATAAGTTAATATATATATGCTAGCTAAAAGATAGTAATCTAGCTCAAAGATAGTAATATACTATATATAAACGAGATAGTTTAAAGAGTACGATAAGTAGAATATTAATAGTCCTGGTATATCGCGTATAACCGATAGACAGACACCCGCCAGACAAAACCGAGGCGAGTGAGACACGGGCCACGAATCCAGCACAGCATATCTTCGTGTACTGGTGGTAATGCTCAGACTCATGCTCGTCGAGCCAGCCCCAGCCCAGCCCGGCCCAGTCTCGGCGCGCACGAGCGAGTGAGCCAATGCAAAACCACCTTTTTGGTGGAGCACCTGGTCTACCTCGGTAGCTAAGGTAGGTATTTTACGAGGCGCGGAAGCCTTGCCTGGGGGAGAGAGATAGCGTTGTACATACATACTGGGTCCCATGGGAAGCGACAGGACAGCACGGGGCAATGCGGGGAGGTGAGCCTTCTTTGCTTCCGCCAAAGCGAATATTTTAAACCGTCGGGAATGGAGATGACAAGGTAAGCGGGCGATGAGTTACAAGGCGTTGACTCGAGGTCATGTAGGGTGTGATGGTAGAACTATCTTCTATGCCTATGTCTGCATACTGGTAGTCTTCGCGCACAATTTCTTCGTCTGCGTTCGCCTAGACCTTTTCCTCCTCTAAAAACAATGCCAAGCAAGGTAAGCATCTGCCGACAGGCTTCATGGCCTACTAAGTGCTCACATCCCCACTGTAATGAGATGGATGCGGCCGTGTGAGCATATGAAAACTGGCCGAAGGAGGAGGAGGGTTGGGGGGTTGGGGCAGCGAGTTACAACGTGGCTGAGGAGGAATGGAGCAACGGGTTCAGGCAGCCACCTTGCCACCTTAATCATTCGAAGAAGACTGTATGGGGCCAACAACGCTCACCCTCCCTTTTTATCTCGCTCACTTTGTTTCTCCTCTGCCGATGTACGGGTCGGTACTAGTCGTTGACTGGAGTGGAATGGGGCGGGGCTTGTTTTGCCTTGTGCGCACAGAGCTGAGAAAGGGTCATCAGAATGTTTTCTTACGAGGTCGAGGGAAAGTTGAGCAAGGACTTTAATTTACAATCAATATCACACTGACAAGAGCAGTCAAACGTGGCATTTGAGCGATGAGTCTTGACAGACGGACAAGCCGAAGAAGTTCAAGGAAATGTTAATTATCAACAGACTTTCAAGCCGAGTCTTACTTTTTTATCCTTGTTCAGTCGGCCGCAAAGCCAAACAGGCCGACCCCGCTGCTGCGGTATGCCCACTGCAAAGCCCTGGCTGCAGCCCTACTGGTTGGTACTCATGTTTACCTGGGGACGTGCATGAGCGGCAGGCAGAGAGCGCTGAAGTACGCATGGCACACGGTGCAAAAAGCACTGTGGTCCCTTCCTCTAACTATTCTGCTTTTACGGGATCGATTAACTATCTCAAGCATCTCTTCTGTGAGAATGTAGCAGCGTGCAATGAAACCCGTTTTTCTACCAGTGCTAAACAACATCACGTCCAGATGCCGAGAGGTTACCCAAGGGACATCGCTAGCATTCTCAGAGTAACACTGACCTAGTCCTTGACGTAAGGGCTATCACGAGATGAGTTAGAGGAAGTGCACAACAACGCAATATGGAACGCAGGTGATGCTACTGCTTCTGCCTAAGCCCTCCTCAACAGCACATATTGCAATCACAAAGAGGAAAGCAGTATACAAACGTGTGAAGTATACGTACACCTAGCTAAATCTAGTTATATACTTCAGGCAGAAAAGCTATTTAGTACTAAGATAATTAAAAAGAGCTACTTAGAATGATAATTATAATAAAAGAATATAAATAAGAGACTATTTATAAGTAAATTAATAAAGGAAAGATTATAACTAAAATAATAATTTTATTACTTAATTATTTTTAATAGAATTACTTCTAATCTAAGACTATTATTAAATAATAAAATTTAAATATATTTATTTATTAATTATAATATAAAAGTTATAAGTTTAAAAGATAAATAATAAAAATTAGTTTTTATAATATAATAACTTTATATTAAGAAGTTTTATATAGGTTAATATATAGATTATAGGTTTAAATCTTATTAGAGGTACTTCTTTTTAATTCCTTATCTACTTACCTACCTAGTCTCTTAAAAGCCTAGTATATTAAAGTAATACTATAAAAGATTAAACTTAAAATATAAATATATCTAAGTATAAATAAGATATAAAAAAAATAATTATAAAGTTAAATTATAAAAAGTATTATTAGGTATATATTAACTATTATATTATAATAATTATTATAAATAAAAAAGTTAAAAAACTTTTAAAGAAGATTTAAATTATATATAAAAAAAGTAAAATTAATATATATATATATATATAATATAATATTAAATATTATTAAAGAAGTTAAGATCTATTAAAGATATATAAAAAATACCTTATATTTTTAATAATTAACTACCTTTTTTAATTAAAATAAGAAATAATTAAAATTAAGAAAAAACTATAAAGTATATAATATCTTATTCTTTTAACTAAACTAGTTTTTTTTAAATATATATAACTAATTCTTTTTTTTAAAAAGATATTATATATTTAATAAAGGCCTTTTTATAGTTTATAATATAATAGATTATAGTAGTATTATAAAAAAAGATATATTAATTTATTTTATTATATTAAGTATTATAATTATTAAGTATTATATAAAATTTAATAAATAGATTATCTTCTTAAGGTTTAACTTTTTTATTAGAAAAAAGTTTTTTAAAATAATAATCTTTAATAAAGTTATTATCTTTATTATTAAAAAGATTAAAAAAGTTAAATATAAAATTAGTAATGTTATAAGTCTTTAATTTTAAAGAAAAAAAGCTATAGCTTTTTAGAATTATAATAGTAATATTTATTTTTATTTATTTTTTAGAAAATTTCTTCTCCTTTTTAAATCTTTAACTTTTTTTTCTTTTTTTTTTAATTTTTCTTTTCCCCTTTTTAACTTTTTAAAACCCTTATTATTTTAGTTTATAATATAATATATATTAACTTTAATAACTAAAGATCTTTTTTTTTATTCTTTAAAAAAATTAGTTATAAGATATTAAAAATTAAAGGTAATAAGACTTATTCTTTAAACTTAAAATACCTTAATTAAGGCTTATTAGTATTTAAACTAATAATTAAAGGTATTATTAATAATTTTTAAATATTAATTTACTTAGTTAATATTATTAATAGTTATATTAATAAGCTTTAGTTAAGTTAAGTAATTATAAAAGTTATTATTAAAGCTTTTTAATAAGTCTTTAAATAAACTAGAGATAAGATTATAAAAGCTATTATAAAGTTATAATCTTTAAATTTTAATATTAATATTATATTATTAAACTAATAAATTATAAGTCTAGTTTAGTTAAGTATATCAGCTAATAATAGTTATAAGACTCTTTATATAATTATTTCTTATAAAAAGTAATAATATAGTTTATTTAAAGTTAAAGAAGTTTTTAAATATAACTAGTTTTTTAAGAAAAGTAATTATATTTATAGCTTATAGTTAAATTTATAAGGCTTATTTTTAAAGATTAAAGTTCTTAAGGCTTTTTAGCTTTTAAAGGTTTTAGAAGTTATAAATTAACTTTACTAGCTCTTTAACTATTACTTTATTAATTTAAGACTATTTTTATTATTAATAAAGATTTAAAGGGTTCTAAAGAAGTCTTTAGTAATAAGTTTTAACTTAATATATTTTATAATAACTTTAAAAAGCTAGTTTAGCTAAGTTATTAAGTCTAAAATACTTAATACTTAGTTTTTAAGTATTAATTATTAAAGTTTAAATTTAGTTCTAATAATATTAAAATTAAAATCTTTAAAAGGCTAAAAGTATTTTAAAAATTAATTAGTTATAATTATAAATAATACTATAATATATTTATAGGTAAATAAAATAATATTATAGTTTTTTTTAATTTAAAGGTTATTAAAATAATAATTATAATATTATTCTTAAGTTAAAGGTTAGTAGAATAGTAATTATAATATTATTTTACTATTATAAATAATATTATAATATTTTCTAGTAAATATTTTTTTTTAGAAGTCTTATATCTTTTTAGCTTATAACCTATAATAATTATTAATAAGTATATAAAAGTAAAGATATAAGAAGAAGATATAGAAAAAAAAGAATATATTATTAACTTTATTATTTTATTTTTAATTAAAAAGAACTTTAGCTTATTTATCAAGAAAAAGAGGTAGGTATAATAACTTAGAAAAAACTCTAGAATATTCTAGATTCTCTTAAAGACCTACTTTAGTAGGTTTAGTTAGTTAGTTATTATATAACTACTAATATAGCCTTTTTTATTAGTTTTTACTTTCTTTTATTAGCTTTAATAGCTTTATAAAGTAAAATTAGCTAATATTAGTATTTTAGTAGTTATAAGAGGCCTCTATAAGGTAGTTTACTTTTAATAATACCTTTATTATATTTTTATATAAGTCTTTTTAAGTATTTTAATTTTAATAGTTAAGTATTATAAAACATATTAAAAACTATTTTTATATATTTTATAAATAGTTAATTATATAAATTTAATAAAACTATAATAAAAAAATAATATAAACTAAATAAAAAAATAATAAAAATATAAAATATATACTAAAAAAAGATAAAAATAAAATTTTAATAAAGTATTTATTACTTTATAATTTTATTTATTTATTATCTTTTATAACTTTAATATAAGAATAGGTTACTTTTACTTAAAAACCTATTATAATATATTAACTCTTTAATATTATAACTTTATATAAAAAGATTAAGCTAAATACTTTTCTTTATAATTATAAAATCTTTAATTATAACTTATTTAGATATAATTATAAAATTAACTTAAAAGACTTTTATTATATAATTTTAAATTATACTTAATATTATATTAGTTTTAATGAAAGACCTTTTTAAAGTTAAAAAGATACTACTTTAATATTAAATAACCTAATATAAGTAATAAGATTAGTAAAGTAAGTATTTAATATAAAAAAACTGTTATATTTAAAGACTTAGGTTATAAATAAGCTAAAATTAAAATAAAAGTTATTTAAAGAAAAGATAAACTAAATATAATAATATAGACTTTTATTTAATAAAAGCTAAC